TCTTCTCTCTGCTGTCTCTTCTCTCTCTGCTGTCTCTCTCTCTCTCTCTCTCTGCTGTCTCCTCTCTCTCTCTCTGCTGTCTCTCCTCTCTCTCTGCTGTCTCTTCTCTCTCTCTCTCTGCTGTCTCTCCTCTCTCTCTGATGTCTCTTCTCTCTCTCTCAGAGCAGGTCAGCGGTGATGCAGAGCAGGTCAGCGGCGATACAGAGCAGGTCAGCGGCGATGCAGAGCAGGTCAGCGGCGATCCAGAGCAGGTCAGCGGCGATGCAGAGCAGGTCAGCGGCGATGCAGAGCAGGTCAGCGGCGATACAGAGCAGGCCAGCGGCAATGTTGTATATGTGAATATTGTCCTCGTGTCTCTCAGCGTCGGGATTGCTGGGCTCTATGGGGAGTGGGCGGGGCTCTATGGGGCGTGGGCGGGGCTCTATGTGGAGTGGGCGGGGCTCTATGGGGCGTGGGCGGGATTAATCAGCACTGAGTGTAAACCATTGGAGCGGATATCTTCCTGTGGATGGGGAGACGCGGCCGCCGTGCGCAGAGATCTCCGCCGGCGGATGGTCCATGTGCTATGCGCGGGGCTGTTGGCCGGGGGGAAGATTGATGTGCGTTGCGGAGCGGCGTCCTCTTAGCGAGTGTATGGACGCCGGCGGGGGCCCCTGTGTAATGCGCTGATTTATTCGCTTGGCGCGGACGTATTTGCTTTTAGGGACGCGGTATCACTTCGGACACACATCCGCCTTCATGAAAGGAACGTACGCTGGTGTCTCTTTGGTGCGTCTGATCAACGCGCTGGAAATAATGTGGCGTCATCCCCGCAGATAAGCTCGCGTTCACGGGAACCGGAGTGTAATCCTATTGGGCGTTGCTCACTGATCCTTGCTGAATAGAATTCGCGCCAGTGGTAACGGCCGGAGTGTAAAAGGACTATGTAAAAAGAACTATGGGGGTCAGGGCTTTCCCCCATAGTTCTCCTCGGGGTCACATGGGGACACAAACTAGCGTCCTCCTCCCGTCACCCTAGGCTCAGTATATAGGGAGCTACAGCTCGCGGTATACTGAGACGCCGCAGCCGGAGCGGATCCCGACTTAGATGACGGGATCCGCCCAGCTGCGTGAGTGACAGCTGGCTCCGCCTATCTAGAGGCAGAGCCAGCTGTACCCGCCCCCTCCCCCTTCCGTTCCGCCAGTCAGCGCTGGAGGATCGGAGCGGGGAGGGGGGAATCAAGCCCCTCCCCTGTCACGAGCGTGTACTTTCCTTTCTATTGTCTATTCGAATGTATACATGCGTCTCATTGGCTGACTCTGTGTTATGTTAATGTGTTGAGGAATTGATTGGCTGTTGGGGGCCGTCCTTTCTTTCTGTTACCCCTTTGTGTTCTATAAATAAACGGGGGGCTCCCTGGACTAGACAGGACTTGAGCATCCAACGTGAGAACAGCTCGTGTCTGTTTTACTTGGTACCCAGGCCCGGATTTCACACAAGGCCAGCGAGGCCCGGCCTCGGGGTAAAATTTAATAAAAAAAAAAAAAGAAGAAATAATTGAATAAAAAAATAAAAATAAAGAAACTGTACAAAAAAAAATTGAAACTAGCCCCGCCCCAAGGGCAGGTTCCACAATACGCCCCC